AAAAAAAAATTGGTGTTTATATATAAATAATATATATATAAACACCAATGGTTATAAACTCTTTGTGAAAGTAAATGTTACTGTAATATTATTTCATTTTTACCATTACAGATTAAATCACACATATATACAACTTTTGAAAGAGAATGAAGTTCTTCAGGTTGATCACAAGAATTTAAAAACTTTACTGAACAGTTCTAAATTAGAGCAAACACGACTGGAGGCTGAATTTTCTAAACTTAAAGAACAATATCAACAACTGGATATTACTCAGACAAAATTAAATAATCAGTGCGAGGTAATCAGTTTATATTATCCTTATAATAGCAATAGCACTTAGACTTATATACCGCTTTATAGTGCTTTACAGTCCTCTCTAAGCGGTTTACAGAGTCAGCCTATTGCCCCCAACAATCTGGGTCCTCATTTTACCCACCTCGGAAGGATAGAAGGTTGAGTCAACCTGGAGCCTGGTGGGATTTGAACTGCCAAATTGTAAGCAGCTGGCTGCAGCAGAAGTAGCTTGCAGTAGTACCATACTCTAACCACTGCACCACAGAGGCTCCTAATTATAATAATTTGTTATAGTATAATTAGATGTATTGTATATTTATATGGATTTATAAGTAAATTAGAATTACAAATTTCATAATTTAACATTTTTAAATATGGTCTCTTTGCTTCTTGGCTTTAATTTATTCTGTCTTAGGACTTCATGAGGACATTTGGGGGAATAATTTGAAACTGAATTTAGACTTTGATTCTGTTGCTAAAAGATTATTTTTGATGGCTGTTTTTTAATATCATTTTATCTGATCTTTGCTCTGAAGGCTTGAGAGCAGGGGTGGGTTTCTACCAGTTCTGTCCACCTCTGTAGAACCAGTAACTCTGAAGAGCAGCAGACATAGAACCGTTTCTATGTCTGCTGATGTTTTTGCCCACCCGGGCTCTTACCTGATCTTTATTTCCTGATTTTTCAACTTCAGCTGCCGAACGAGGCACAGCTGCAGTTAAATTAGCAGGAAAAGAGGGCTGTTTCAAAGGCTGAATCTCTGCACACAGCATGCTGATGACGATTTATAGGCGGGCTCACAGCGTGCAGGGAAGCTCGTACATCCCGAACCGGTAGTTAATCCTGTCGTATCCCACCCCTGCTTGAGAGCAAGTTAGAATGTGATGATTGTCTGGATGGAATAGCAATGCTTGCCCACTCACCTCACCAAACCCCAGCATCAAAGATAGGACTTCTTTGTAAAAGAGACTTCCAGTCCCAAAATTTACCTCATGGTGCCCTTATAATTTTTTTTAAAATACTGATCTTGTGTTTTTTTCCCCAACTATTAAAAAAATATAAAGAGCTTTTATATATTTTCCTTTATTGAATCAAATATTGAATTTATGTTTTACATAAAGAGTTAACATTCCTAAGTTTGAGAATGCCTCTAATGATGGATTTGTTAATTCATTCATCCCAGGAAAGTTGCAGATAATTTGATATTAAAACTTTAACTCGATGTAGTGGTCTCTTGGCATTTCCTACTCTTTTTTGCCTTTTGCTTTTCTCCTCAGCTTTATGCCCTTCTTCCTGTTTTTAGAGGCATAAAACGGATGTCATGAATAGGTATAGCCAGAAAACATGCAATGTTTGATAAACAAAAACAAAGAACATGTATTCTCTGATTCTTCTTCCATCTCAGTTGCAAGAGAGTGAATATAATTACATCAATCCTCTCTTTCTCTGACAGGAACATCTGTCTAGCAGGAGATTGTTAGTGGTGTGTGAAGAAACGTTCAGTAAATAATTAAACTTAAGGCTAAAAAATAAAAGTGAAAGTTTAAATCCACAATTGTTGAAACAAGACTAAGAACAGGGGAGAAGAGGAGAGTGTTAAAACAGAGATTACTGGAAGAGATCATGGGTGGCTGCTCGGTGCAAGCAGTTCTTGGTGCTTAGGAAACAATTCCCTTGGGGGAAAGATAGTTCTAGAATATAAGGGGAGGGCTCTCAGATACAGGTGAAGGGCTCAGAGATGTAATAGCAATCTCATTCACAGGGTGACAGCTCCTTGGCTGTTTCAAAGAACGAGGGTCCTGGGGAAGGAAGACATCAGTCTAAGGAAGAGAGAAGCTCTCCCTTAGAAGAAACCCAAAGTCCAAACAGGTTTCCTCTTGCATTGAAAATTTTCCCAGGAGTTTTTGATGGTAGATGATTTGATCATTAGGAATTTAGATGGCTGTGTGACTGGTGGTGACTACCTGGCGCCTACTGCTGACTGTATGGTGATTTGTCTGCCTATATGAAGGGTCCAGGTACTTTACACTGTCTAGATAGGCTGCTAGATGTTGCTGGCTGCTAGATGTTGTTGTGGGCACTAATGACATTCTTATAATATAGTTGGGAGGTCCTGGAAACTACATTCAGATGGCTAAGGTGGAAGCCAGAACCACCAGAGTAGCTTTCTCTGAAAGGCTACCTCTTCCATGCACAGGACTAATTAGACAGGTAGAATTGGAATTCTCAATGTACAGATGAGATGTTTCTGGAGAAGGAGAATTTCCTCTTTATTAGTTATTGGAGAATGTTTTGGGAAAAGCCAGATCTGTACAGGAAGGACAGGCTCCATTTGAACAAAAGGGACCAAAAGGGCAAAATGGGACCAAAAGGGTAGAACAGATATTAAATCCCTTAGGGAAGGAGATGAAAAGAATTATGTCTGCCTAAAGAGAGAATAACAGAAATAGGAGAGGAAAAAAAGGAGAAAAACATCCTTTTCCAGGTTTTCCTTAGTCCTTTATTAAACAGATCTCTGTTGATCAATATATGGATGTAATTAAATGTAAATTCAGATCTGATTTCTCAGTGTATTCAGTTTATAATCTACTCTTTCTAAGACAACATATTGGGTTAGCATTGCTGGATTCTTCTGTTATCCCTAACAATAAGAATTCTTCATGACAAATAATAATTTTTTTAAAAAAAAAAGTTTTATTCAATTTTCACATATTACAGAAGGGGAAAAACGTTTTTCAGCGAACAGCATAATTCCAGGTTAACACATTTCCATTACAAACTTGACTTTAATTTCCTACTCATCTTTCACATTTAATAACTTATCTTAATCTTACTTTATATATTTTCTTTAATTTTAATCATCAAGTTTTTTTCCATCTTTTATAAATTTGCCAAGATTGCTTAATCTATTTCTTTAAATCCTTACTGTATCATTATATATCTTCATATTCATTGTATTTTATATTCTTTTCTGTCAGGCCTGCAAGTTACTCATCTATACTTAATTCATCATTCCAAAAAATTCACATATTTGCAACATAGAAAAAACAACAACAAAACAACACCCCTATTATTGCCAATTTCTAGATGCCACTCCTATGGTTAACATATCACATATTTAACTCCCCCCCCCCCCCCCCCCCCCACCCCCGTAGTTTAATTTTGAATTAACACTTTTTTTAAAAAGCCACAATAATAACTTTTTAATAGTTACTACATTACATATGTCTCTTTTAAACCTGGGTCTGCAAGTTCCCCTTCTTATTACATAAAAATATATCTAGGTTAAGAAAATTATAAACAAAACAACATAATTAATCTCATCATTTCATAAGAACTAATATTGTTTTCCCTTTAACATTACTCCTGCTCTGTTTACCATAGCTTGTTAATTCATTAAATATTATTAATGTCTTTATTATGATATACCTCTCTTAATTCCATACTCTAAAGAAAAAAGAACAGCCAATCACGACAATAATAGAACAAAATCAGTCCCTATCTCCTATCTTAATAATCTATATTCCACTATTTTCTAAACAATTTATTATTTCTTATTTATTTAAACTAGTCCTTATACACTTGCAGAATCCCCTTTTAAATCTCAATCAACCATTATCTCAGTGCCTTTTAATTAAACAATTCCATTTCATTTTTATGTGCTTACCATATTTCTTTCTTTTCTGATCCTGTTTCATTCTTATCTTCTTTTTATCACTCCAATTTCTATCCCCCTCCTTTTTCATTACGCCCTTCTGGAATTTCCTTTCCTGCTGTTTTCTGTCCTTTTGTTCGGTTTTTTAAATAACCCCCCTTTTAGTTACAGTGTTAAATCTCCTATTATTAGTTCTCTTTTCCCCCTTTGCTTAAGTTTTCGTTGTTTCAAATGTTCATTTAAGATGGCCACTTCTTGCGATGATTTCTCTTCTTATTGTTCTTGTTATTTTGAAGCCTCCATTTCCAAAAATTGCAGTGCAAAACCAAATCATTTGCCGCCTTTTTGTAGCATGTCTTTCATATTTCTAAGTTCCGATTTAAGTTCCAGTAGCATTCCTGCCATATTTAAACAGTGTTTATAAAATTTTCCAAATGTTTAGCTCTTACTAACTCCTCTTCCAAAGATTTCTAGATTAATTCCACTTTTCAATATCCATAAATTAAAGTCTTGTATCAAAAACACCAAACAATTCCACAATTTGCCTTTGTTTGCAAATTTCACTTTCACTTTTCAGAGTCCCTATTTTGTAGTATCCTAATTCTGGTTATTTTGTATCAAGTAAGTCTTTGACGGATCCAAGTTTTAAAATAGAAAGGGATATATATATATATATAAAAACAAGTCCCTTCTCCACTAGATGGCACTCTTCGCTGTATTCAGAGTCGATTCTTTTTCTTTTTCCCGGCTTTTTCTCACTCATTCAAATTTTAAAGTTCTGATGTCAATAAATCCAAGTGTCAATTTTCAAATTTTTTGTTTTCCACCTTGACACAGCCTTGTCCAGCTTTAATAAGCCTGTTTGGTGTCAGGGTTATATATTTAATTATTTCAAGCACAAGCTTCTTCCGGCTTCTTCCTTCAAGATACAAAGCCACTTCAACTGTCACATATTTGCTTTCTTAATTTCTTTGTCCACCATTTGAATCCACTTTCTTAACAATTTTAAAAGATTTAAGTCCGGGGTACCTTATGCCAAAATTATCCTGGTTTCTATGCTGTCTTCTTCTTCACCGCTCCAGCACTATCTTGTCCGTTCAGCTTTCCTCTTCAGGGTGGCCATTTTACTGGCCACTGCTGCAGTCGTCTTCAGAGAGGAGTGGTTGCCAAGCCAAGGAGGGGAGATGCGGTTCCTCTCGACTCAACTGTCTGTCTCCCCCTTCTTCGCCACCCCTACAAGGCAGCTCTGGCCCCAAATCGCAAGGATTGGGACCCTCCGACAAAAGAGCACGGAACGAAACCGTGCACAATTGCGGATTCCAGTCCGTCTTTGAGGCAAGCCAAACCGGAAGTCTCCTGACAAATAATTATTGTTTCATTCTGAGTATAAGAGAAAGCTGAAAACCTGAGAAATGTCTTGAAATATTCTCCAAAGAAATTTACCATATACCATTCCCACTGGCTATAATTTTAGATATATTTACTGATAGCCAAAAATTTTATAAAACCTAAACAGAACCAGCAGAGTATTTTTGTTAAAAGAAAAGCAACTGAAAATAATGTACTTTCTAGGGCAAGCTTGTGTTATTTGATTAGTTGTCTTAGTTAATTGCACTGTATAAATATAATTGGCTGACTATTGGCACTAAATGTTGTGTTTGGACATTTTGACAGTTGCTTAGCCAATTAAAAGGGAACTTGGAAGAAGAAAACAGACATCTACTGGACCAAATACAGACTTTAATGCTACAAAACAGAACACTTTTGGAACAGAATATGGAAAGCAAAGATCTCTTCCATGTTGAGCAAAGGCAATATATGTGGGTATCAGTATATAGGAAATCCAGCTACAAAATCATAGTTGCTGTTGAACTGTCAAATAAAAATCATGAAAATGTTATTGGGATATTTTATTAAGAACTGATGAAAAATGTCTTAACACCCAATCAGATTTTAATCACTTGTGTTCACTACGAAAGCATATTCATTGTTGAATTAATTTGAATGATTCTTACTCAAATTCTGTGTAAGCAATTAAAGAAATTGACAGATTTCTTATGACAAGTTAAAAGCAATTCGTTTCTACCCCGATTTTTGTATTTTTATAAGGAACGATAAGATTCTTTAAAATACATCTTTTGAATTGAATTGACTAAAGATGCAAAAGATATAAAATGACTATTTTAAAAGAATATATTATACTTAATATATGCATATACATTAAAATGTAATCTGAATCTTGCTGTGACTACTTAATGGCTACTGTATTCAAATTACTGCATAATAAAACACTTCTGGATTAGAGAGAATTTTCATGCCAAACCCATCCGTTATTAGGGAATTGTAGTCGAAGCTGTCATCTTAGTTAAACAAAGATATGCCCTTTGATACTGAAGAGAGAAGTGCACAAACTGAAACAAGAACCATGGGGAAAGTGTAGGAATTATGAGATAAACATATATTTACTTTGAAAAAGAGTAATCCCAATTTTTGAAATTTACAATATTATTTTCAGAGGGAAATAGTCAATGTAAAACATGATAATCTCAATTTTTGAACAATATATGTTTTAAAAATTACATTTCAAAAAATGATTTAATTTTGGTGGCTGACTTACTGCTTTGTTAAACACAGGCATAAGCTCTCTCACAGTTGTAATAAAGGAAACCCATGTTCTATACTGGGGATATTTTCACAGAACATACTGTGGGTTCATTATTTTTAGATTTAGATTTTTTTATCCAATCTTTATTGTTTTTATAAATAACTCTAGGTGACAAACCTAGCATATATTCTTTTCTTTTCCTATTTTCCACTCAACAACAACCCTGTGAAGTAAATTTGGCTGTGAGAGAATGACTATTCAACTGACTTTCATGTCTAAAATAGGACAAGATCTCATAGTTTCCTGGTTTCTAGCCTGGTGCTATTTTTCTCTGTTTGTCTGTCACCCTGTCACCTTTCTAACCCACCCATCTCAGTAAGTGATTCTGGGTGATTTACAATAAAAACATAAAAGGTAATATAAAAGCCCCTGACTACAATTCCCTTTTGCAGAAATATATTTCTATAATGCAAAATCTACATGGAAGTAATCTGATCAACCATGTACTGTGTAAAAAAAATGTCACATTTATTTATAAAATGAGACCTGTAATGAAAAGGTGCTTAAGATATTTAGATACAAAATTAAAAGGAAAAGCAATTTTGTAGAAATATGTCCTTCTAAAATGTACTTTTTTATAGTGACAAGTTGAATGAATTGAGAAGACAAAAAGAAAAATTAGAAGAAAAGATTATGGATCAGTATAAATTCTACGAACCATCTCCACCTAGAAGGTAATGTGATCACTAAGTTAAAGGACATCATTTTCTTTCTGTTGGGAATTGTTTAAGTTGTATTCATATGACCAGAGAAAAGCTATATTTAGCATTCTTTTTCATCAGTCAGTCAGTCAATCAATTTATTTCAGTTATTTATCAATTCAGAAAAGATCACAAACTATCAGACAGCAAATAAAATTTGTAATAAAAATAAAGAGTTACAATGGTGTGGTTAAAGTACAATGTATGTCAAGTACAATGTAAAATTATAAAATGCCTAATTCAAAATCAGAAATAAAATCACATTAATTGAACAATTGGAATGTAGTTAAAAATATGACAATGGGGAATTATTACCTGTAACAGTAAACTTTGTAATAAAAGCAATATAACAAAACATGGTTTAATGCTTCTGTAGCTTCCTCACCATGAAGGCAAAAATCTTTGTTCAAGTGGAATATCTTGAAATGTCTCTTCAAGAATAGTTCTTGGAAGGGGTTAATGTTGTCAAAGTTAGGATTATTCTGAATTTGGAAACATCATTTGGCTCAAATACTTTGCCAACTTCAAAAAAAAAGGAAGTTACTGCTCAGGAACATACAATATCGGTCAGTCAGAGCTAATTGGCTTTCCAAAACACTAAGGGCTGTTGCTGCATGTTCATGTCCCCACTTTAGAATTTCATCAGATGAAGAGCATTTCACTTTCAGTTGACTGGTTTCTCTTTAGATTGTATAAACCTTTCACATTCTTTTTCATTTCTTTTTCAAAAGGAGAGGCAACTGGATTACTCTGAAAATGAGGAAATTGATAAAATCAAAGAAAGATGTCAACCGAGAACGGCTTAAATCTCTGTCTCTGACACCAACCCGCTCAGAATCTAGTGAAGGATTTCTTCAGCTGCCACATCAAGATAGTCAAGATAGTTCCTCTGTGGGTTCAAATTCACTTGAAGATGGCCAGACAGTGGGGACTAAAAAAAGCAGCAGTGAGTAATTTTTTTAAAATTTAAATAGGGAGTAGTATCTGCTGTAATGTTTCTATTTCAAAATGTATTGGATTTAAAGTATTTTAATATTTTTATTATATAGTTGATAGTGGAGAAGCAACCTCTACAGCAGAGTATACTCCTAAATGTTTTTCAGGGGTTCATTATTTAAAATGAAATTAATAAATGGGTTAGAGTTGGCTAATGAAATTTATACCTCCTTTATCCGAAATCTTTTTTTTAATATTGTTTTTCTGATTCACTCATGACATTTTTATAATGTGATTTTCCTGTAAAATGCTTCCTTATGAATAATTTTTATATAGTTATAGTTGATCCTATTTGTCTGCATGTCCATTACCAACCTACCATCTGATGATGTTAATAAAGTGCAACCCTGCCTCCAACATTGCATGGAAGAGACAGTGTTTTGGTTTACATATATTATATGTAAAGCTCAGCTGCATATTGATGAGGAATTTATTCATATATTTATTACACACATATACCATCTTTCATTTAGGAGCTCATGGCAATGTATATAATGGTTCCATCTCTTGTTTTTCCATACAATCACCCTGTGAGGTAGTTGGACTGAGAAAGAGGAACTGATCCAAAGGTTTCCATAGCTGTGGGTGGACTACAATTTGGCCCTCCCAATTTCTAGTCCAATATGTTAACCATTACATCATTCTAGCTTTCAAATTAAGAATAGCCATCATCCTTGCTTATTATGTAAACTTAGGGAAACAAGCAAGTGGCATTCATTTTGCTTGTAGATTTTTAATTGTTCTCTGCCAACAAAACAATAATATGCCCAGTGGCAACGCTGGCCAATTTTGATTAATCTTAGAAATTATATTATATTGGTAGCAAATGGGATCTGTTTATCACACAAATCCAAAGAAAGGAAATTCAGACTTAGCAATGCTAAGACCTTTAAAATTTAAATTTAGTGGGATGTTTAAATTGCAGAATGAGGCACATTCCTTAAGTATTGTTTCACAATCCAGACTATGATCATTACACTTTTGTGGTAAATGTTCAGAATTCTCAAGCTATTTGAACTGTACCAAAACAGTTCAAATACCGTATTTGCCGGCGTATAAGACGACCCGGCGTATAAGACGACCCCCCACCACCACCGGAAACGCCCTCCAGAAATCCCCGGGGCTGCAGCGGCAGGGCAGAGTGCCAGGGGCCGTGGGAAGAGCAGGAAGGCTGCAGCCTCGGGCGGAGCGAGGCGAGCGGGATGAAGCGGAAGCGACGCAGGGGATCCAGGAAGCCAGAGGCGCCTTCGCTGCGTCCAACAAGCATCCGAAAGCCGGCAGTGGATATACCGGCGTATAAGACGACCCCCCCACTTGGAGGCATGTTTTTCGGGGCAAAAAAGTCGTCTTATACGCCGGCAAATACGGTATATCCATTGTTGGAATGCATGAGTTTTTAATATTTCGTTGTGGATTTAATTCACAAAAGCAAGTTTTTTTTTCATTAGTAAAGTAAGAAAAATACAATAGTTATTTCATAAGATTAATAGCTTAAAGTTTCTGCCTACTGCCAAAAGTTGTAAATGTAGTGTTTCTACCTTTTAATTTTTTATATTTCTATACAAACATTTTAAATAATGTTTTGTTTTAAAATGAACAGAAAATGTTCTTAAGCTTTACAGCAAGGATCTTCAAACTTGGCAAACTATAAAGCAGGGGTCTTCAAACTTGACAGCCTTAAAACTTGTGGACTTCAACTCCTAGAATTCCTGAGTTAACATAACTGGAGGAGGAATTATGGGAGTTGTAGTCCACAAGTTTTAAGGCTGTCAAGTTTGAAGACCCCTGCTTTATAGTTTTATATTAATAACAATTTGGTTATCATTTAAGGTGTTTCAGATAATAAATATTGAAGCTTCTCTTCACTCTGTGCATCTCAGCAAAACTGAAATAATACTTGTCCTCATAATAGGTTTATAATAAGTTAGCTTGTGATTTATAGTTATATTCTGACCTGCATTTTATGTACTGCTTGATTGAATGTACTTTCTATGAAGTACAGTATATCTATAATGCAGATTTGAGTGACTTTTTTCACTTTTTATCTTTCCTTCCTTGATACAACTATTACAGACTATCAGTGTTTACTGCTGTATAGCAGCTGAATTGTGATTTCCAGTTCTTCAAACCAATACAAATTCCATCTTGTCTGCAGTGAATCACACTTTGTTTTCTCCCATTCTGTTTAATACACCTTGGAGAAGTGCAATCCAAACTTGCAATCCAAACACGTTGGCTGAATGTTATTAGCATGTTTATGGCATCTAGTTCCAAACTATATATGTTTCTTCTCAGTGCTTCATATTAAATAAGACGGCAAGAAGATAAAACTTTGTGGTACCATAAAGGATAATTCCAAAAAGGTCAAGCAAAATCTCATAGTATCACTTTCTGATAGCATCTGGAAAAACAGGAATGGAACCACTACTAAATTATATGTCCAATTTTAGCTTTCATTCAAATATTTCAATAAGATGCGATACTTAAATGCTATCAAAAGCTGATAAGGCACTCAGAACTATCAACAAGGTAGCTTTTCCTCACCTATTTTCCAGAACTGAATTCACCAGAATAATCAAGATGGTCTGCTTGCCAAATCCAAGTGTAGATCCAAACTGAAAAAGGATCAAAATAATAAGAGTTCAAAGTGCAACAACACCACTTTCTTCACCAAATTGGCTAAATCATTGACAGAAACTGACATACAATATATTTATTTGATGTGTACTCCTACAAACATATATTCAGAATTGAAGAGTTAGAATGGAGTTGTAGATTGAAATAATAACTGGAAGTATTCAGTCCTGGTTTCCTTTAGATGAGAAAGGCAGTTGGAGTTAGAATCAGTAAATGGGAAAGATTTGTACTTAACTCCTGGCAATTTTTCCTGCTCTTTACTCCAGCAAAATCCTCCCAACAAAAAAATGCAGTGCATATGAAGTAGACAACAATAGGTCTTAAATAAAGATGAAATTTTCTAAGATTGTGGTATATATAATAATGTTATTGAACATCATTAATAATTTACGTATATGCTTTGTGTTTGGACTGCAATAAATCCACACTGAAAAAAATATTTTCGAGTTACCAGATCCTCTTGCATAAGATTTCATCTCTGAAATAAGAGATCCATGTAAAATCCTTCTGTAACACTGAATTTAAAATAGTTTTTGTATGTACTCTCTTGCTTGATTCTAACATCACTGTCATATTTTTCTTGTTGTTTTTTTGTTAGGGTATCAATTTTCTGAATGATATCATGCCCTGCCCCAATATGCAAGTTTTATTATTTAAGACAGTCTATTGGATTGTTTACAATTTTTTGCTCTTCCTTTCTTGATTGGATAGGATATGGTTGTCATGCTTAGCTTGTTTTAGCTGTGATTAATAGAAAAAGACATGTTAAAGACTGTTTTGCAGATGAACATAAGTAATAATCTTGGCTCATTTGGTCAATTCCTGATTTTTATCTCTCCTATTTTTATTGGTCCTTGTCTAGTATCCATGTGGAATGGATACTTGATAGGACACAAAGGAAATTGGGACTAAGCCAGAAAATTATATATATTCATTTGTTCATTATTATCAGATGCAGTTGTTTTGTTTATACAATATGCTGTGTCAAAGTTTGATATCCATGATTTATGGAAAAAAATCACATTAAGCTATTTTTTTTTAACTTGTGAGCCATCCTAATAATAAGTAAATAAACTACAATAGCTTTATTCATATATCACACTAAGCCATAATGAAATCATGTTACACTTAACATAACATATGAACCCAGTAAGCCAACAGCAAATAGTTTCAAATAATTTACTGTCCAGGAATAAAATATATTTTATTCTCTGACTCTGCCCCATGCAATAATTAAGGCAAAAACAGATAAGATTATGGCTTAGAAGATTATGGCTTGACATTATATTAAAAAGTGAACCTGGGAATTGGTATACACAATGATTTACTAAAATAAAACAGGCTCAAACTAACAATTAAATAATTTTTTTAAAAAAAAACTAAAGCCACAATTTAGTAGCAAGTAAGAACAAAGCTAAAAAATATTTAATATACCAAATTAGCATTTAAAAATATGTTTCAATATCCCAAAATTTACTTGGTGATTTCTAACTTAATTTCTGTCTCAAAGTTAGTGTTTTGTTTGGGTTTTGTTAAGATTGGTTTTTGAGACATTTAATAATCCTGAACAATGGAAATTCTTTTTGTTCCTCACACAGGATTTCAGGGTTTCTGGATATTTTAGAAGCTTCACTATGGAGGTTTCATATTTTCCATTATCATTCAGCAACATGAAATTAATAGCTGTTAGTAAATTGCACCGAGTGGAAACTCAAACATTCATTTCTGTCCTTAGTTTCAACATTTAACTTCCATCTGTTCTTCTCCCCTTTTTCTTTCATTTACCGCTTCTGTTTTTCCTTATGCTATGACATAAAAGTGGTTGCACTGAAAAGACTGCCCTTTTTGAGGAACAGACCGAAGGAAAAAGACAAAATGAAGGCCTTCTACCGTCGCTCCATGTGTAAGACTTTATGAAAGTTCAGCTTCTTTTTAAATGGCTACACTGGCATCTATTACTAACTTTCCTAACCCTTCCCTGGACTGCACTCTTTTTTTTCCTATTCTGCAGAGTGCAAGTCTTACGGTATACAAGGAGCTGAAGCAATGTTTCAAAATACTGGCACTGAATATACATAATTATTGGGCTCTATAAATAACACAAAATGAAGATACATTTATATGCTTACATTATGGAAATTACAGGTTAGCTATGATAATTGGGACTGGAATTTCCATCATTAAGTAATATGGCCATAAAGCACAATGTTACATGACCATGCCACTTAATGATGCAGTTCCTGCACTTCTGATTACCTTTGTTAAGCAAGCCCAGTATCCAGGTTAAGTGCAATGTTACATTCTGGCCACTTGCAACCTCCTGCCAACTTCCCCATTAACTTTGCTTGTTGGAAGCTGGCAATGAGGGATAGCAAATGACAATCACATGACCTCAATTGCTAGATGCCCAGATCATGCAATTGTGGGGTAGTATGATGGCTGAAACATTAAGGAGTGGTCATAAGTACCACTTATTCAGCACCATTGAAATTTTGAAAGTTCACTGAATGAGTAAGGAACACCTCTATGTGCATTTCAACATATGTGCATTACGTACATATGGATAACTAGGTACCAGGCACACATTTCCAAAGTGAATGTCATTTTTAAAATAAGTTATAAGTCTTATAAAGACAGGTACCATTTTCTTTCTTTTTTTAAAGTAAAATCTGTCCAAACATAAATAGTAGCCTGCTTATCTAAAAGTGGGGAATGGGGAGGCAAGTTTTTGCCAGTGTATTATTTTATTTTTAAGTTAAGGATGCAATATGTGTAGATAGCTGTTATAGAGCACATTTGATTTAAAACTTTATCGTTAGTGTTATGCACAATTATCTATCCCTGTAGAAGCCTGCACAATAAAGGGCCCCTTATCATTGCCAGCACTGACTTTATATAAGCACTTATGCTCATTTTACCCTGTTCATTACATTTACCATTACAAACATCAGAGCTTCTAATGTATATTTATGTAGCATTCCAGCACAAGCATGGCAGTTAAAAACATTTACAATCATCTGCATAAGAAAGCCTTGCTTTTTAACATTTTTCATTCATTCAGCCAAATGCATGTTGTAACATATATGAACATGGAATGTAGCTTTCAGTGTGATGATTAGAGATAAATGTGAAGCATTTTACAATGCAAAAATAAATAAATCATTGAATCATGCTTATACATTTGCTTTCATTTGCATCCCAGCAATGAATGACCTGATGCAGTCCATGGTCTTAGCAGGAGGACAATGGATAGGTAGTTCTGAGCATCTGGAAGGTCCTGATGATACATCCACGGGTAAAAGGAGAAAAGAATTGGGATCTATGGCCTTCTCTACTACATCCATCAACTTTGCAACTGTCAACTCTGCTGCAGGCTTGAGATCCAAGCAGTTGCTTAATAATAAAGGTATAGGTAGAATCTTTTCAGTGTGGTATGGCTATGTTAGCAACACCAGTGGTACTGGAATCTATTCATGCTTAATACTTCATATGATTTTTCAACAAATACTTATAATACAGAATTATGTAGTGGGGAAAGGGTCTATCCATATTTCTGACATTACTTTTGAAAACATGAATTTATTGGAGCAAAAACTTCTTAATAGCATTTTCTAGATCATAAACTAATGTTAAAGTTTTGATGGTTTTTTTCCACCTAGATACAACATCTTTTGAAGATGTAAGTCCACAAGGAATTAGTGACGATTCTAGTACAGGTTCAAGAATTCAAGGTAATATTTGTACTTTAAATGAGTGCTGGTTATGGGAACATTGATGAAGTTTAACCAAAAACAGTTTTGCAAATGAACATTTGCCAGTTTTGATTATTTTTCTCTCTTCTTTCAACTTTGCATCTCATCTCAACTCATTTCATCATCTCATCTCATCTTTTTTCCCATTTAATCTAATATAATTCTTCCTCATTTCCCTAATGCAGTTGTTTAAGTAAAACAAACAGTTGAGTGCAAGATTCATTTTTTTCAGTACTCCTTCAGTTCTAAATATCAGAGTATAGTGTTGAGAATTAGTTAGACAATCTGTTTCTCAAAATATGTTCACTTATACATTAATTTATTTTCTTAATCAAATTTCAATTTAGATATAACCAGAGAGTGCTGAAACAGAAGCTACAGCATTATTTTGAACTATATTAATACTGTCTCTGTATTTATATTGTTTAAGAGTACGCTATGTTAAATGTAGAAGTATTTTTCTTCTATTGGTGACATTTCTGCATAGGTCATATCCATGTGGAATCCATTGTAAATGCCTTAAACAAAACTAATTTTCTGCAAGTTTACATGCTATTTTTAACATTTTTTTCAATTCTAAATACACATTCTATTTTTTCTTGTTTCATATCTTTTTTACTGCTGTAGAACAAGGGTCCCCAACTCCCAGAGTGTAGCCCAGTACTGGGCCGTGGCCCATTTGGAACCAGGCAGTGGAAGTGGCGCACGCGCAACTCCATTTGTGTGAGTGGCAGGCTTGTGTGCCTACTGCTCACGCAAATGGAACTGCATGTACGTGCTTGCTCACTGCTCATACAGATCTATCCCCTCTCCTCCACCGGTTTGGAAAGTCGGAAAGGTTGGGGACCGCTGCTGTAGATCATTTTTAAAAGTTGCCTATAAACATCTTTTTCTGTTTTAGGAATTTTCATATTTCTACAGTAAATGGTAAATTGGTGCACTTTTTCAGTGTTTGTGCAATTTAGGAGATTTTAATATCAAAGCAGATCTGCCACCAATTTGATAAAAATTAGGGAAGGCCTTTGCAAGAAGATGATTATTCAAGATGGTGGTATGTTCCCAGACAATGGATATAAATACTTACATTTTTGACAAACGAACTTTGTGTATTGCTTTTTTATATGAGTTTTATATGAGCAATCTTCTATACAAACTTCTTAACGACTATTGTAAATACTAAAGTAATTACTTCACTGTTGAAATTAACAATACTTTCTCACAATATGTTAGCTTGTGTCTCCCAGAATCTTTTTCTATAACAAGTTTTGGTTATTTTGCCCCCCCTGATTTCTGTCCTCTCTTCACCGTCCTCCCAATGGTCTCTGTGGGAACTCTCTTCTGGGTAAATGCAGAAATCTCTCTTGCATATCTCTTTTTTATCATGTCATGACCCATTGTGGATTTCACATAGATGCTTTCCAGCTCTTTCTGGCCCCAGTAGTTCATCTTTAATGAACCCTTCATATAAATCAAAAAAGAGAAGATTTCTCCTCTCTCTAATCTTCTTCTCTCATAGGTCAGCATTTGCCTGGGGTTGCTTAGGCATTTGGTCCTCTGGATTGTTAATTATAGATTCTCATGTCTTGCCTGTACATCTCCAACATTTCTCTCCCCGCTGCTATTTAACTTCTATGTGAAACCATTAGGTGAGGTCATCTATTGCCATAAGATTAGATATCATCAATATGTTGATGATACCTAATTATATATCTCAATCCTAGCCCCTCCAAGGGATTCTGTTGAGGTTATGTTTTGGTATTGGGGGATGGAGGAGTCTGAAAATAAGCTTAAATTTAACCTCATAAAACAAAGTGGCTATAGATTGCAAATTCCCTTAAATCCAGATATTTTCCATTTTTTATTCTGAATAAAGTTACATTGACCTGGTGTACAATTTGGAGGTCCTTCTAGAATATGATTCAGACAGCCTTTGCACATATCCATTTTGTGTGTCAGTTGCACCCGCTCCTGGATTGGATGGCCTTGCTTATAGTTACATACACATTAGCCACCTTATGTTTGAATTACTCCAGTGCAGTATACATAAAGTTGTCCTTGGTAACCACTTGGAAACATTACTTATCCAGAATGCAGTAACCTGGGTAAGTTGCAGGTATATATTGATATATCTACATAATACCTCTGTTCTATAAGAAAGCAGTGGTTACCAATATTCTTGGATGCAATTCAGACTGCTAGCTTTAACTTACATAGCCCTTTAGTGACAGAGCCAAAGTATTTGCAAGATAATTTATTAATGTCTGTGAATGAAATATCTCATGTACAGTATATTCTGATTTGACAGGTGTTTTATGCTATCTACTGATTCTTTTTCATTTAGCTTCCAGACCAGCCAGCCTTGATAGTGGCAGAACATCAACTAGCAATAGCAATAATAATGCATCACTCCATGATGTCAAAGGTATGCTTCTAGACAAATGAACCATTCTTTATATTACAGAGACGAATGGGTGATATTCATAGCATGATGGAATTTTTACTGTGATGATTTTAACCATTTGGTTATTTTTAAAATAAAGTTTTAAAATAGGTTACTTTGCTGGGAGAATATGGCACAGAAATGTAATAGATACTTGCATTTCTGTAGCTTTTCAAATACTCTTGATACCTCCTTCCCTCGACTAAATGTCAGGGATAGAAAATAAAATGTGCAGTCCAAAAATTACAAGTATAACTATACTGATGGAATTTGATATCCCAATTATCATTAGCAATATAGTATACTTAATCATAATAATGCTGAAAATATTGAACATCTAGATATATTGCTAGTAATAGTGAGCAAATGAACAAAAGAATTCACAGTGAAGCAAAGGAAAATGCCAGACTTAAGTGGAGATGATGGAGAAGGAAAGGAAAGATATCTCATTAGGAGAATAAAAGTTCAGAAATAAAATGTCTATGGAGATTCTCAATGATCCAGGTCATGGATATCCCAAAGATGCTTTTCCAAAAGGCAACTGAACTTCCTTGTTTTTTTTCTTTGAAAATATTTCACTTCTTATCCAAGAAACTTTTTCAGTTCCGATTGTCAGAACTGAAGAAGCTTCTTGGATGAGAAGCTAAACGTTTTCAAGGAAAAAAAACCAAGTAAATCCACTTGCCTTTTGGAAAAGCATCTTTGGGTTCAGAAAAGGAATTTATCCAAATAAGAGATACAACATGAGAAAGAAAAACAGGAAAAATGATAACTCATAGGAGTGAAGCAAAGAAAAAAATGCATATATAAGTAAATATAGAATATTAAAAAAAGAAAGATAAGGAGAAAAAAAATAAAAAAGGAGAGTATAAGGATGTTTAGATATATCTAAACCAGGCATGTCAAACTCGATTTCATTGAGGGCCGCATCAGGATTGTGTTTGATCTCATGGGGCTGGGGGGAGAGCATGGCCAGGGTGGGCGTTGCCAGCTCAATGTCACTCATCGAGGCTTTGTTTTTGACCATGACAGCCTCCTGCAGCCCCCTGCCAGTGAAAACAGAGTGCATAGCTTCCCCGGCCCTCCATTTTCGCTGACAGAGGGCTGCAAGAGGCCATCACGGGCCCCAAATAGAGTCCAGGTGGGCTTTACGCGGTCTTCCTGAGCTCTGTTTTCGCTGCCAGAGGCACTGTGGGCCAGTCCTTTGCTGTTTCCAGGGCAGCCCTGTGGGCCAGATCTAAGCACCCTGCAGGCCGGCTCTGGCTCCCAGGTCTTGAATTTGACACCCCTGATCGAGTGAGATCTATACAAATAAGGGTAACAAAAAGGTAAAGGAAAGAAGTCTCCTATTCACAGCTCAAGAAGCCCACTAGGCTGGCTACTTAGCTTGTTTGTTTCTTTAAAGCAGACCAATTACAACCAACTATCACTGCCTCAATGAATTATTTTCATTAACTTTACTGGATTTTGCATCTTTTTTGAGCATTTTTGTTTTTCCAATATAAATTATTCTCTCCAGAAATACTATGTCAGTTAAGGGTACATTGCTTGTGTTCTAAAAGTATATATTGCTTAGGAGTTTTTAAAGCTGTTATTAAAAATATTGCAAAGAATAGTTTCCAGTTAACCGCTTTGGACTGAAGAAATGCCAAAACGAGAAACTGGCATTTCTTCAGTTATTTTGTGCACAGTGTGATGTTTCTTCTTCAAATCATATTCACAGGAATTGAGACTTTATATAAAGAGCAATGTATTTTTACATAAATCTTTTCAGCAAAATATTTCTTGATTAATTTGAAACTATTTTTTTCATGCTTCAATTTTTCTTTCCTTTTATAACATATTATAAAAGATAGCAGATGGTAATATTTATTACAATGATTATGATCTGGATTGCTGAAAAGGTTTGTGTGTTGGATGTGTGTGTATATAGAAAATTGGAAACTGATACTTTTAAAAGTTGAAGTTGAAACTTTTAAAATGAAACATTAGATATCATAATGAAGAGCCATAATGGGTAAAATTAAGGAAATACATTTTATTGTACAAATTTTAATAGGTGTTTAAGCACATTACTGTAATGTTTCAGTATTTTTAAAACATCTAGCAATATATTGTACTTCATTCCAAATATACTTGTTAAAATGTTTGTAATTTATTTTACCTAAGAAAAATATCAGTGCTGTTTACTCTAAAGCAGGTGCAGGTAACAACCAAAGCAGGCCTCAAAGCCACAGTAGTGGAGAATTTAGCCTACTTCATGAGCATGAAGCATGGTCCAGCAGTAGCAGCAGCCCCATACAGTATTTGAAAAGTCACACTAAGTCTAGTCTCCTGCTTCATCATACAATGTCAGAAAAAATAGATAAACAAGGAATACGGAGAATTAAAACGAAATCCCCTGGAAGTGAAATGGTTACTCTGCAGCAATTTCTGGAAGAAAGTAATCAAGTTACTTCAGTTGAGGTATGTTTTAAAAAATACTTAATTTTAAGAGACACAACTTAAGCCTGAGTAAACATAATATGAGTTCAAGTAGATCATGACAATGTGATTTGAAATCCAGGTAAAGAAAAACAACTAATTTTAAATTTCAGAATCCACATTCATTACTTATTAAGAATTTGAGTGGAATTAGTAATAGCTGAAATGCTTAGTTTCAAAAAGTACATTCTATTAATGGTCATATCTATAAAAAGAAGACAATGCAATTATGCATGGTAAACTTTAATAAGCCTACACAAAATTTTATCATATATAAATAGTACACCAGATTATAATCTTATTATTATTAAGGTAAATCATAAAATCTAACCAAGTTTGATAAAATTGTGATTCCTGCTTCTGAAATGTCATTACTTTATCTGTGTTTTTTACCCCAATATGGCAATTGAAGAGGCTTTACTCAGTTTTTATATTCTGTAAAGTTTTCTTGCACAGTTACTATTTTGGCTGCTATAATTACATAGGTAATCAATTCTTTATTTTTAAGTTTGTGGTTTGGTCCTGCAAAAAAGTACAATAACGTACTTTACAATTACTTAAATTTGATTAGATGTTTATTATGGATATATAATGTTAATTTTGCCATTGCTACATATTTTCCAATTTTGTCTCCCAGTTTGACATAATTTACTAGGATCCTTTTTTTTCATTGTTGTCTCAAATTTGTTCTTGCAGCTGTCAGTATATATCTCAGTAAATTGTAATATTTTCATTTTGAGGAATGAATAAATTCGCAATTTAGAATTAATGTTTTATGCTATTTTTTCAGGTTTCTTAAGAGTAAAAGCTCAATAATTTTCTCAGCTCATTACAAGTAATAAATTACTTGTAATTCAGCATCAGAGAACACAGTTTTTATAATATGCCATAGTTTTTCTGGAATTAGATTTGCAGATACAGGTAGCTAATTGGGACTAAGGAATGTGGTTGTTAGGCAAAATGCAGGGTCTCCAAAAGGAAAGAGATGGGCGCTAGGCAGACGGGTTCAGTCAATTTGATGGGATAGTCAATAAATTTGATGGGAAGACTATGTGTTTTTTATATTCATTCTCTTTTTCTGTCTATTTTTTGCAGCTAAAATCTTCAAGCAAAGATAATCTTTTGGATGAAGTAATGAAATTTTTTTCAGAAAACGCTGAGTTAACAGGAAGAGAAAAACTAAGCAAACAGACATCAGGCAGTAGTGGTATTGTCAGATCACAGAGTGTAAGAAATACAACAGAATTATCTGATGGAAAGTTAGGTAAGCAAGAGCCTTTTGCAAGGCTCAATTTAAACAGAACAGAAGATTCTAAAGATTTGAACTTTTTAGAGACTTACGCTGCAGGCAGTCAGGGAAAGGTCAGATCTGTTAAAGAAAATGTCCAGTTACAGCGACAATCAAAAGACTGCAATCCCTATGCTACTTTACCTCGTGCAAGCAGTGTGATTTCAACAGCAGAAGGAACTACTCGGAGGACCAGTATCCATGATTTTTTATCTAAGGACACTAGGCAGCCAATATTTGTTGATCCAACTCCAGCTACAGCTGAACAAAGTATTATATCATCTTCGAGTGAGTACAATCCTCAACAACAATCTTCTATTTTTTATTATGCTCCTGATAATGCAGTTACTTTTTCCAAAAATGACTTAGCTAATATTACTATACCTGATCATTTGAATATACCTGAAAGGCCTAGCAATTCCAGAACAAAGACCAAATTTATTACTAAAACATTTTCTCTCAGTAATGTAAATAATGATAAAGTAGGCATATCATCTTCAGGACATTTTTCCATGCCATTTTTGACACTTAATACTGAATTAGTCTGTGATGTTAGCGGATTACCTCAAACATCCATAACCAGAACAGCTAAATCATTTCATTCATTGGTGAAATTGCCACAGAAGGATCACAAACAACCTTATGAAAATCAGAAATCTGATAATAAAAAGATAGATGTCACACAGAGTAGCAATAAACTTGAAAGCCTTGTGCATACAGGTCCTAATGATAGTGAATCCCCTTTATTAGCTGATGAAGATACCCAAACTATTTGGTATGAATATGGTTGTGTATGATAAGATAAATAGTTAAGCAACCTCCCTGATAAAGTATGAATGGACTTGAAACTTAGAGCCTACCTTATTAATTAGAAAAAAAACATAAGATTTTTGTTTCCTTGAGTAGGGATGAATAATTCACCTTTTTTTCTTAGCATGTGAATTCTTAGCATGAGAAGGAATGTAAAGTGAAAGCCATGCTAAAGTTTGCATGAAGTATTAACTGCAATGTGTGATTGCTGCATGCCTCATCAAAAATCTTAATGCAAGCTAACTGATTTTTTATCTTCTATTTGTTAAAAATGTGTTATGAACATTACTGGATGCATGCTCGCCAATTGCATGGTGCCATGCCAGAAACATCATTTAAAAAGATAATTACAGCATAGCAATTACAATGATTTACAGCAATTACTAATTTTTGGACAGTTTCTCTTCTATTCAGATGCTGCAGTTTTATGTGGATTAGATTTTAGGCTACATTAAATTTTGACTGATTTAAAATAAATAGAATTGTTTGGTTGTCCAGAATTTGTTTTTTTCACTTTATAATTTACAGATCAGTTGTATGTCTGCACACCCAGAAATAAGTTCCACAAATATTTGTTTGGATTCCCCCCCCCCCCCAAAAAAAAAAACCAACCTGTGCTTCATGTTGCATTGTATTCATGTCACCTGAACCTGAATTGAGCCCTTCCTGTTCTTTCCCACTTAGGCTAGTAAAAAATGTGGAAGGAAGTCTGTATTGTAATCTTTAATTTATAATGTATCCTAAAGAAATGTTATAGTCAGAATAATTCAGTGTAACTGCCATTTACATACTCAGTGTGAACTCTTAGTATAAAATATATGGCATAAAGCCGAAATGATGATTCTGATTTTGTTTAATGATATATAACAGGCGAAGTTGCACTGAAAGGACAAACCTGTTTCATTTCTTTGTTTTTTTCTGTTCTTTCCCATTCCATGCTTGTACCCCTGTGTTGCGTTGTCTGTAGGCCTACATAAGATTTTTTATTATATAGCATTAATTTTGACACTATGTTAAAATAAAAAATTAAAATGGAACAGCACTATCTTTTTTCTTTTTATTGAATACAATAGCTAATTAGAAAGTGTTATGAAAATCTTTTAAATTGGGTTCAGCAGATTATTTTAGTTCTGTTCAAATTCTTAGTTCATTTGTTTTTCATTGTATAAATAAATCCTATATTGTGTTTCAAGCTTCATCCAGTAAGCTTTACATTTTTAATATGGTATAAAATAAGGATTTCAGGAAATTTGTGTGTATGGCTACTATTGTCTCTGAGTATAACTGGAAAAAATCCCTGCCTTAAGATATTGTAAAGTTTCTACTTAAAAATATGAACTGACATATATGAGATGGATAGCCTAATGCAGTGGTTGCCAACTGGTTGTCTGTGGCCCACTGGTGGTCCACAAGAAAATTTTGGTGGTCCGCAGAGAAATGTCACCTCCAAAGCAATTAATCCAGGCTGTGTGGGAACATAAGGCTGCACCGCCCACATGGCCTGCGGGAACACAAGGCTTGTGTCACTTGCATTGTGAACAACACGAGGTACTGAAGGGAGGGTGGAAAGGGCAGAGGGGGGGGAACTTGCCCCACGCGTGTCGCCTCACCACCGGGATGCTTCTTTCCGCTTCTTTCTTCTTCTGCTTTTGGCTGTACATAAGGAAAGCAGCAAAAGTCTTTCTTTCTCTCCCTCAAACTCCGCCAGAAATGAGTCTTTGGGACCCTGCAAGGCATCCTGCTCCAAGAGGCTGCGCCAGCAAAAACTCATTTCTGGCAGAGTTTGGGGGAGCTGGAAGCTGCAGACAGAGACCCTGGGAAAATCCCAAAAAAAGTCTGCAGGCAAATCCCCCACCCCATTTTCCTACCGATCAATTGTTCTTTATTTGGGATCGCAGGATACCATATCCCCCCCCCCCCCCGAGAACGGAGCTGAAAAGCAGGTTAATGAAGGAATGTGGCTGCCTTGGAGGGTGTGTGTGTGTGTCTGTGTGTGTGAGAGAGAGAGGGAGAGGGAGAGAGAACATCACCGCCAGTCCTCTGAGGTTAGATCGGATCTCTCTCTCCCACCAACATCAGCATGCCACCGTCAGTCAAAATTTATATTAGTGGTCTGCGGAATTTAAAATTATGAGTTTGGTGGTCCCTGAAGTCCAAAAGGTTGGCGACCCCCGGCCTAATGGCTTTCCTTAGTGTAAGGTAGTCTATGTTATGCTATTTAAGAATCACATCCTTTAAAATGTCTTGCAGAATTACTTGAAACCTATAAGATTAAAGAATGTAAAAATTTCTGCACAGCCTTAATAATTGTACAGCTTTTACCTATTTGGCACATGTCATTATAATTGGCTCACATTTCTTTTTTTCTTTTGGCTCCTTCAAGTCAGTACTGATTGGTGACAGCCTGGACTAATACTTGCAGTTTTCTTGGCAAGGATTTTTGCTATTGCCTCTTTTCTAGGGCTAAGAAAGATTGACTGTTCCAAAGTCATCCAGCTGACTTTCTAAGGCAGGATTCACAGTCTTTCTTCTACCCTGATACCTTAACCGCTACAATAAAGTACCGTATTTATCGGCGTATAACACGCACAGGCGTATAACACGCATCTTCATTTTAAGAGGGAAATTTCAGGAAAGCGCCCGTTTCACCCCCACTCCCACCCCCCGCGCGCGCTTCAATCCACAGTGTCCCATTCTGCCTGCCTGCCTGCCTGCCTTAGTTTCTGGTTGTTTGGGAGCAGCTTCGGCTGAGAATAATAACTATTCGCCTCTTTTACTCAGCCGAAGCTGTTCCGATTCAACCATTAACGAAGGCAGGCAGGCAGGCAGAACGGAGCACTGCGGGCGGGCGGGCGGGCGGGCGGGGTGAAGCAGTTTCTTCCTGTGCTGGTGGAGGAGCGAGAGAGCGACTGACAGAGCTGACCCAGAGAGAAGGACAGGCTTCGGTTGCTTCCTCCCTCCCCTTCTTTCATTTGTGTCCTTGATCCCCGATCCCAGCAGCATTCACCGAAGGCTTCTTAACATTATATCGGCGTATAACACGCATACATCATTTGCCCCCTATTTTCAGGGGGAAAAAAGTGCGTGTTATACGCCGATAAATACGGTAAATCTATTGCCTTATTTTCGAAGGATCTAATTTTTTTGTGCATCTTTAGAGAACCAAAGTTTCAGATACATTGTTCCAGGTGGCATGGGGCCATGGACAGCTAGTAATGCAGCTCCACAAGATCATAAGCTTTTAATATTATTAACAATTCCTCTTCACTCAGTGCAGCCCAGGCAAGCCAAAAGGTTGAACCACCATAATTAACAAGCTGACATAGCCTCCATATGATACAAAGTTAAACATAACTTCTTTCTGAAAATTGGAATAGTTAACTATTTATGACTAGTTATTTAGATTCAAAAGAAGAAAACAGTGGATGCAGTTTAAGCATCCTTCTATTTAGTACTTTGTAATATCTTCTTTGGCACAATTTACAGTTATAAGTTCCTATATTCCTGCTAACAGTCTATTTTTGTTTTGGAATTTTTTCCCTACTCTTCCTTGCAGAGATCTTATAGTTTATAAGTATTCTTCAGTATCTTTATATGATCTGTGCATTTGAAATTTCCCTATAGATTTTCAATAATACCCTGCATATAGAGAGTAAATATGCATTGAAATAGCAGTAAAATATGCTTATCTTTGTACAGCATAAAGATTATGTTGTTTTCTTTACACTTAGGGATTTGGTAGAAGGTACAGTTTGACGGGGTGGGTGGGGGATCCCTATACTTTTGTATATGACTGTGTCAGAAAAATATTTGAGTGCTCTTCACTTGATTATATAATTCCATATATTCGCTTCCATGATTCCTTTCTATTTCAGCAAAATTAAAAGTGAGATATTCAGTGTGAGGTGGCATTATGTTTTCCAAAAGTGGAATCTAGAACTGAATGAAAATCACAACAAGATATACTATTGATTGCTGTGTACAACATAATACAAACCTAGAAACTCTTGTCTTGTCAATGACATTTTATATTATCTTCCTCCCCCTTTCAACAAATATCATCAGCCAATAGTGAGAACCAGCAGTTATTCTCCTTAATTTAGTTTTGGGATGGGACTGTCAAATTGCTCTTGTTTGTTAATAGGTTTTTTGTGCAGATGCATTCAAAAGGACGCAACCTGTTAGCTGTTATCAGCTGATAGGCTCCTTTTGACACAGGTTTAGTACTATTCCTAAAGAACACTACACCCATATTCAGGAGTACCCCAAACAACAATTGACAGGAGCAATGAAAGCTGTGCTGTAAAATAGCAGGGAGGGAGGCAGTTGTCTGTGTCCAGCTTCACTATTCAATTCCCCTGTCACCATCATGGATCAAGCTTCTTTTCTGGCTGATCCTCATATGGAAGCCTTTTACCTAGGGAAAAACCTTGGTTTGAAAGAACAAGGTTTTTCTACTATTCAAAGTGAAACGCCCCTGGAATGAAAACCAGTATTATTACCTGCTTAAAAAGGCAGGTACTGTTTAATACTGGAATGTCTAAAATGATTTTAAGCTTCAACAGATATTGGGAATGAGATAAAAGCAACATGAAGCCTCTGAAAGGATGAGGGTGGTATATATCATCTCAGCAGTGACTTGTGGGGAAATAGGGGCAGGCCATGCTTGGGATTATGGATTGTGATAACCTACCATGTATTACTGACCAACCTACCATGTATTACTGACACCTGGCTTGGGGTGGTGGTGTCCCCCTTTCTGAGATGTGCCCAGCTGGATTTTGGGTGTGGAAGAGCTGAGAGATTAAATAGCTAAAAAGATGGCTAACGCACCACTGGAAGACAAGGAGCAAACCTCATCAAACACAGAACAGAACTTCTTTTAGAGCCTACCTTGTTGACAGAAAGGGTAGCAAAATATATTTCTCTACCCTTATTGCATCTGGCAAAATATATTTCTCTGCCCTTATTGCATCTGCAGAGTTGTCTATTTGGGCTATTCCAGACCCTCCTTGGAAGGAGTAATTCTGTATTTAAAGGGTTGTGTTAAGAATATGCTAGGAATCTGACGGATAAAGTTGTTCAGATTCTCTCTGTGGTGGACTCTGCCTTGAAGCAGAGTCAGTGATGGTTATGGAGGCTAGGTCTTGAACAGTTCTCTGTTGAGACTGAGGAAGTGGGTAGGGTTCGTGCCTGTATTAATCCATGCCCTTCTGGCTGGTCAAGGCTGTCGAGGGTATGTGTGATTGGATTCTGGTGGTGTTAATTACTTCTTGAGAGAGAGGAGTTCCATGAGCTCTTAAGAGTCCATTGCTCAACCCAACCAGTCTGGATAATGTTCTTCTGATTTCAACCTTTCCTTTTTAGGGAAGATTGTTGAGAAAATGGTTGAAGTGCAGTTTCAATGGGCTCTGGATGAAACAGATTATCAAGACCTTGGCCTAGGCTCAATTAGGATTTATTCTGGGGAATGGGATGGAAACAGTGGGAGTAGCACAGTGGCCTAGGGGTGAAGACGCCCACCTCCCACTCAGAACATTGAGAGTTCAATCCTAAACACTGGCAGATGTTTCTTTATCAGGATGCAAAGAGAAAATATCTCCTGCAAATTCCACATAGGTGTCAGGAAGGGCATCTGGCCAGTAAATACTCAGGCCCATTCAGTTGCCCTGAATAAAGGGATTAAAGGGTTGTAAAAAAAATGGGATGGAAACAGCATTAGTCAAGTCTTGGATTAAACCTGGCAAGAGTGGGATGAGGGCTAGGCATCCATTGTTGCTCTTCTTGACCTCTCGGCAGCTTTTAATCATGGTATCCTTCTGAACCAGTTCTGAGAGTTGGATGTGGGTGGCACAGTGTTGTGCTGGTTCTTCTTCCTCTGAGCTGATTCCAATTGCTGTCAATGGGAGAGAGATCCAGCACATAGCCCCTATTTTGTGGAGTGCCTCACAGCTCAAGCCTTTCTCCTGTCTTGTTTAA